ACAAAAAATTAGCGGGGTATGGTGGTGCAAGACTATAATCCTAGCTGCTCGGGAGGATGAGGCAGGAGAATCGCTTGAACCCGGGAGGTGGAGGTTGTGGTGAGCCAAGATTGTGCCACTGCACTCCGGCCTGGGCAACAAGAGTAAAACTTTGTCTCAAAAAAATAAAAACAACAACAACAGAAATGAAAGAATACAAACTGTATGTACTGTTCCATTCATATAGGGCACAAAATTAGGCAAAGTCAATCTATGGTGTAAAAAGTCAAGAGGTGGTTTTTTTTTTGAAGGTGGCGGCTCCTTGTTTCTTCAATCTGAGAGGTGGTTACAATAGCGTTCCCTTTGTGAAAATTTGTCAAACTGTACACATGATTTGAGCACTTTTCCATATGTATTTAGGCTAAATGTCAACAAAATAGTTTACATTTAGAAAATAAAAGTCCCAATATTGCTGTAGGTATTCTCCTAGAATCTCCTTGAACAGCCAGATGCTAACATAAGCTAACACTTCACAGCCTCTCTCCTCTCTTTCCCTCTGCACAGTTCTTCAACCTGTCTCTCTCTACTACCCATTTGCTTCAGCAACACTCCTCAGGTCCTAGAGCAGTCCAAATTCATCCCTACTTCATGGGGCTTTTATCTGGCTGTACCTTCCATGTAAAATGTACTCCTTCCTGCTTCAAAGGGCTAGCTCCTTATCCTTGGACACCAGGTCTCCCTTCCACCCCACTGGTCACTTCAACACTTTGACTCCTTTATAGTACACTTCACAATTTGTAATTCTGTTTCTTTCTTTCTTCACTAGAAGGTAAGTGGTAATATTTAGAGAAGTAACTTACTCAACTAATTTTTTTACAATAAACACTTGCTGTGTTAGGCAATGTGCTTTGGGATGCAAAGTAGGCAGTGTCCCTGCTCTCATGGAACTTAAAGTCACAAACACAACTAATAAGTGATAGAGCCAAGAGACACATCCAGGTCTGACTCTTAAAGGCTTGTCCTCTTAGCCACTTAATTATACTGACACTCTAGCATTACGACATGGGGGCTGGGGGCTAGGGGCCGGGGGCAAGAAACAGCAATATACTTAATAAATGTTCATGTACTAATAGAACTACGGGTTAGAGAGGTTCAATAATCTACCCAAAGTAGCACAAATAGACATTTCAGAGGCTAAATACAATTATGAGCAAAAGCACATAGATGCTAAAGCAGTGTTCAAGGAACAGAAGAACCCAGTTGGCATAGGGCAAAGAGGAAACACAGGTAATAAGGCTGGCAAAGTTTATAAGAAACAGTATGCCTTGGTAAAAACAAAACTAAAAGGCTAGAAGAGTGTAAGAACAGTGTAAAGTCAGTCACTCAATAACTGTTTACTGTGCACCACCTATGTTCCAGAAAGAGAGTCCTAAACTCTTGAGACACAAGGATGATCAAGTCCTCATAGAGATTACAGTCTATTTGGGGAGGCATACAACTAAAGAAAAATTATAATTCAGGAGGATATGTTACAGTGGGGCCGAGCAGAGTGCTATGGGAACACAGAGATGACACCCAATTCAATGTGCAGAGTTCACAAAGAGCTTCTCAGCTAGTGATGTCCAGGCTGAGATAATAGAGCTTAATAGGATCAGAGGGGCTTGCAAGTAAAGTCCAAAATGGCAGGGGAGTAACAAGAGAGGCCAGCTCAGGAGAGGCTATGTACTTACGAACCATATCAAGAACTTAGAGGACTTTACACTAAAGCCTTTTAAGTCAGGTTCACCTATTAGAAAGCTCACTTAAACTGCAGTAGGAAAACTGACTGTAAGGCTAGAGAACAAAAGGAGACCTCTTAAAGGTAGAAGGCATGAATGCAAATGTGAAGAAGAGAGGCAATGCCAGCTTTGACATAGAGAACAGAAAAAATATCTGCAAAAGATATCTGTATCTGAAAAAGAACTGTTATCCAAAATACGCAAACGTGTCTGAACACAGTGGCTCAGGCCTGTATTCCCAGCACTTTGGGAGGCTGAGGCAGGCAGATCACTTGAGGCCAGGAGTTCGCCAGGCTGGCCAACATGGCAAAACCCTGTCTCTACTAAAAATATAAAAATTAGCTGGGCATGGTGGCTCATTCCTCTAATCTCAGCTACTCAGGAGCTACTCAGGAGGCTGAGCATGAGAACAACTGCTTGAGCCTGGGAGGTGGAGGTTGTAGTTAGCTGAGATGGCACCACTGCACTCCAGTCTGGGCAAGAAGAGTAAGATTCTGTCTCCAAAAAAAAATAAAACAACAAAAAACAAACAAAAACTCACCAATGAAAAAACAACCCAACTTAAAAAAAGACAGTCAAAAAGACCTTAACTAACTCTCCACCAAAAAAAAGATATACAGATAACAACAAGCATATGAAATGATGCTCCACATCACATGTCATCACAGAAATGCAAATTTAAAACAGTAAGATACCACCACAGGCCAGGCGCGGTGGCTCATGCCTGTCATTCCCCACTTTGGGAGGCCGAGGTGGGAGAATCTTGAATCACTTGAGGTCAGGAGTGCGAGACTGACCTGGCCAGCATGGCAAAACCCCTTCTCTGCTTAAAAAAAAAAAAAAAAGTTAGCCAGGCATGGTGTACGCCTGTAATCCCAGCTACTCAGGAGGCTGAGGCAGGAGAATCACTTGAACCTGGGATGTGGAGGTTGCAATGAGCCGAGATCACACCATTGCACTCCAGCCTGGGCGACAGAGTGAGACTCTGTCCCAAAAAAAAAAGAAAAGAAAAGAAAAGAAAAAGAAAATACCACTACACACCTATAAGAAAAGAACTGCTGAAATCCAGAACAGTGGTACTTCCAAATCCAGCCAAGAATACAAAGCAATAGGAACTCTCATTCATAGCTTGTAGGAATGCAAAATGGTACAGCCAATCTGGAAGACAGTTTGTCAATTTCTTACAAAACTAAAGATACTCTTCACTTTGGGAGGCTAAGACAGATCACTTGAGGTCAGGAGATTGAGGCCAGCCTCGCTGACATGTTGAAAACCTGTCTCTACTAAAAATCCAAAAATTAGCTGGGCATGATGGCAGGCGCCTGTAATCCCAGCTACTCGGGAGGCTGAGGCACAAGAATCACTTCAACCCAGGAGGCAGAAGTTGTAGTGAGCTGAGACTGTGCCACTGTACTCCAGCCTGGGGGACAGACTGAGACTCTGTCTCAAAAAAACAACAACAAAACAACTAAACATACTCTTACTACCTGATCCAGCAATCACATTCCTTGGCATTTACCCAAAGGAGTTAAAAACTCATGGCCACACAAAAACCTGCAAATGGATGTTTATAACAGCTTTATTCAGAATTGCCAAAACTTGGAAGCCAACCAAGACATCCTTCAGTAGGTGAATGGATAAACCAACTGTGGTACATCTAGACAACAGAATATTATGCAGCCCTAAAGAAATGAGTTACCAAGCCATAAAGACGTGGAGGAAACCTAAATGCATATTACTAACTGAAAGAAACCACTGTGAAAAGGCTACATATTGTAAGAGCCCAGCTACACATATGACAGTCTGGAAAAGGCAAAACTATGGAGACAGTAAAAGTAAAAAGATAAGTGGTTGGGGGTGTGGGGATAAATAGGTGGAGCAGAGGATTTCTAGGGTGGTGAAAGCATTCATGTATGTCATTATATATTTGTCTAAACCCATAAAATGTACGTCACTATAATCTTTGGGTAATGGTGTGTCAATGTAGGTTCCTCAATTATAACAAATGTACCACTTTGACAGGGAATGTTGATAATGGAGGCGGTTACACGCGTGGGGACAGGTGCTACACGCCAAATCTCTTGTCTCTTCCCCTCAATTTGCTATTAGCTTAATGCCGCTCTAAAAAATAAAGTCAATTTTAAAAATCTGCATAAGGGGATATATGGGTCTACATCTCAGTACACAAAAAGACTGGAGGCCAGGCACAGCAGTTCACACCTGTAATTCCAGCACTTTGGGAGGCCGAGGTGGGCGGATTACTTGAGCCCAGGAGTTTGTGAGCAGCCTGGGCAAGATGGCAAGACCTGACCTGGTCTCTACAAAATAATTTTTTTAAAAATTAGCCCAGTGTGGTGGCACATGCCCCTAGTCCCAGCCACTTGTGAGGCTAAGGTGGGAGGATCCTTTGAGCCCAAGAGTTGGAGGCCGCAATAAGCTATGACATCACCACGGCACTCCAGCCTGGGCAACAGAGCGAGACTCTCATCTCAAAAAAAATTAAAATAAAAGACCTGAGTGTCATTAGAATATGGACAGTAGTAGGTGAGTAAACAAATATGTACTGAGCACTAGGTACTGAGGATATATATTAAAAACACAATTCTTGCCTTTATGCAGCAGATGTTCTAGTAACTATAGCTATGGGAACTAAATCATTTAAAGTGCATTAGAAATACTGCTATTTTGAAGAATACTATTAAGGATACTTATTGTAAAAAGGAAAATTTCATCTCCATTTTTTTGGGGGTGATGGAAGACTCTGCGGATTTCATATAGATTTTGTTGAAAGAGAGGGCTGTACCAAAAATATCCAGATTTTAACATTTTACAAGGTGAATATGGGAATTCCACAAAATTCTGTAATAAATCTCTTTAAACAAAGAACCTCCAATCTTTAAAAATTGTGTAAATCAACTGGTTAAAAATACAATTTCAGCAGTCTCCTAAAACTTTGCAAATTACTAAACTTTGTTACCCCAGTTATGTAAGATCTGTTTTCAAAACACGATACCCACTGAAAATCCTACTTGTTATGCTATGTCATTACTGACATAGCTAGATAATTTCTTTATAACTCCAATTTAACCTAATTATGCTTTTTAATTACAGATATTAAGAAAGAATATTTCTCTACAGCAATTTTGTAAGAACTTCCCAAAGCTTAGAGGGAACAGATTAATATTTAACAGATGTAAAGTACATTAAAATTGTTTCTGAATTTGTACTCTGTGGAATACTTACCCTGAAAAGTCATCCGTTTCATATCTATTATACGTATTTCAGTTTAAAATATTAAATGTTACTAAATAATGTTGGAAAGATGCCAATAACAAAAAAAAACTGTTTGGCATAGTAAACTTTGGGGAACAAATTCTGGATATAATTGCAACTACCCATCCAAGATTACAGAACTCTGTATCTTCATTTAAATTTTCAGAATGAAACACTACACAACCAATTTGTGTAATCCACTTTGAGTCTCACGATCTACCAGTCTGAAGTCCTAACAGCTAACTAAAATCCTCTCCACCATAATTTGAGCCAACATCTCCCAGATAAAATTACCAGACCATTACATTTGCCACCACACTACATTCTGCTCTTCAGTAACTTCTAAAAGTGATGGTAACACCATACATACCACCATAGATACACTCAAGTATTCACTGTCCCATTTTTCCAAGTTGGTTAACTCAAGTCCTTGAAAGTGAACTGATCAATAAATCTAAACTAGCTAAAAGGAGACCTCATTTTAATCAATTTGATTTTTTTTAATCACAAAGATATAGCCATTCAAATCCCTGGCCGTAGCAATTTCCAAAATGCCACCATCTCAGCAAGTCTGTTAATTTATCATACAAATATTGTCCTTTTTAACAACAAAATGCACTGAAAGAAAAAACCCAGCACTAAAGATCTGTGACCTGATTTCACAAATTCTGGCCTATGCACTTTCATCATACCAACACATCATGCCAAGATAACCTCGTAAGTTTAGCTCTTTAACAACAGTCTTAACAGTAAACATTTGTTGAGAACTTAGCATGGGCCTGCCACTGCTTTCAGTCCACCTACTGTCATCTCATCAATTCTCAACAGGGCTTGAGGTAGACACTGTCTTTACAAACCCATTTTGCAGATAAGGAAAGCAAAGCACAGAGATGTTAAGTATCTGCCCAAGGTTACAAACCGGTGGAACAGGATTTGACCCAAAGCAGACAGTCGGACTTCACAGCCCGTGCTCTCAACATCCAAGTGCTGAAGAGTTAACAATTTACCCTTGACACCCGCTATAAGCAAAGGTAAATGCTCAACTGCTAGGAAGGGGCAGTCAGAGCACTGTCCTATATCCAGTATCCACGGTCTCTCTGTTTGTTCATGGCCTCTATGACTTTGGCAAAGGAGCTACACAAATCTGATTTTCCGAACACCCAAGCTAGACTTTTCTGAATGTCCGAGCGAACAAATTATGTATCTTTCCAGGAAAGGGCCGAAGGCGAAAAAATACCTACGCATCGGTGAGGCCCAGCTTATTCACTTTCTTAAGTTATAAATTTGGGAGAGTTAAGAAAGGACCCCAAACTACCCGGCAAATGAAGCCTAGGAAATGCCAGGTTTATAATAAGCCAGAGCTTCCCTGGCACGCCGTTCACGCGCTCTCTTCTCTAACGACATAAACAAGGGAGGAGGCTGCATTCTTCCCACTGCACAATGAAGCCTCCGGCCGAAGCGGCAGGAAGAGCGCAGCCCCGTCCCGGACGGCTCCAGCCGGGTGTCGGGGGCAGAGAAACGAGACCGAGGCCGGCCGAGCGGCGCGGTGCGGCCCGGGCCTCCGGGCGCCGTGGGGAGGGAGGGCAGGGCCCCGGCAGCTGCCCGCACTCAGCTGACCTCCGCCATGTTGGCCGCACACCCCGGGACCCTCCACAACAAAGGCCGGCACGAGGGCGCGGGGCGCGCGGGCGCCACCCCCGGCCGGCCCGCCTCCCGGGCGCGCGGGGCCGGGCCGCGTCGAGGCCTTCCCCGCCCTCGGCCCGGCCGCGCGGGGCCGACCCTCACCGCCACCCGCCGGGCGGGGCTCCGGGGCGGGGCGAGCCGGCTCGCGGAGGCTGCGGGCAGGGGAGGGCGGGCGGGGGGCGGCGCTCGACCGGGCGGCCCGGCTCCGGCCGAGACAAAGGCGCCGCCGTGCCGACTACTGCCCGCGCCCTGGCCGGGCCGCCCTTCCCGCCCTCCGCCATTACCGGGCCTGGACGCCCGCCTCCCGGAGAGCCCCTCGCCGCCGGCTCCTCCCTCAGGCCGGGCCCCACTTACCTGTGGGCGGAGAGCGCGCCTCGGACCCCGGTCCTGGCACCAACGCGCTCCGTCGCCAACCCCCGCCACCGCGGGCAGCGCCACCGCCTCTTCCCGGCGCCGAGACCGACGGGACACTCTGGGCCGCCGCCGCCTCTCGAGAGCGCGCCCCGCAACGGCCGCCCCGGCTCCCCCCTGGCCGCCGCCGCCGCCGCCGTTTCGCGCGTCCTCGAGCCCGCCGCGCGTCCCCGCTAAATACCACACACTGCGGCGGCAGCCATGAGGAGGCGCGGCCCCGCGCGTTGGGAGCCTGGGGGCGGGGCTTCCGCGAACGCGCGGGCGCGCAGGCGCACAGGCGTTGGCGCGGCCGGCGGCGGTCTCCGCGGGTGTCGCTGTGTGGGTCTGCAAGGGCAGCGGTAGGTGCGGGGGCTACTCGGCTACCGTTGCTGCGCCCGTGCACCGCGCGTTCAACAGATCCTGGCCCGTGGCACTCTGGCCCGCGAGAAGCTAACTCTTGCCCGCCGGATCAGGGCGGCTTCTCCCGCGGCGCTTTGTTCCGGGGCCGCGTGACCCCTCGCTCCGGCCAGAGGGGTCGCCCAGAGGGATGAGAGCCCCAGGCTGGCCGCCGCTGCGGCCTCGTGCACCCCCTCCCTGTTTTGTGTGCTGATTTCGCCCGCGCCTGCACGGATCCTTCCCAGCTCCACTCAGTCCCAAAGAGAAAGCGGCTGCCCTGGCCACCAACCGGGACCCCACCCCTAGGGAAATTCCCAGCCTCTCCCGTGGTTGAGCCGCTCTTCAGCAACAGCGGGACGAGCTTCAAAAGCTTGTTTCGCCAAAAAGTGGGTAATGGGAGGAGCACGCCTTTTCCTCTGTGTCCATCCTCATCTAGAAAGTCCCTGATTAGGGACTTTGCGTTCCACTTCTTGAAATAATAAATAAAAGGAAAACGTCACTTGCAATTCTTTGATGGGTGCTATGAGCAGAAGCAAGCATCTGAGACATTTACAAGGCCTGATTGGATTTCCATGTAAGAGCCATTAAAATGGTATTCTGGCCGGGCGCGGTGGCTCACGCCTGTAATCCCAGCACTTAGGACGCCGAGGCTGGTGGATTACCTGAGGTCAGGAGTTCGAGACCGGCCTGGCCAACATGGTGAACTCTTAGCGGGGTGTGGTGGTACGCGCCTGTAGTCCCAGCTACTCGGGAGGCAGAGTCGGGAGAATCGCTTGAACCCGGGAGGCAGAGGTTGCAGTGAGCCAAGATCGCGCCACTGCACTCCAGCCTAGCTACAGAGCAAGACTCCGTCTCAAAGATAATAATAATATGGTGTTCTGTGTGAAAACTAAAAAACAGTTACTCTTTATATGGGATTTTAGAAACGAGGGACTCGTCTCCTCCTCATCACCTCCAAGCTCCCCACCATCAGCAAATCTCTTTCGGTAGGAAGTTTTTAAGCAAGTGCTCCACTGAGAACATAAGTTTCAGCAGAAAAAAATTATCCTAGGTACTAACACAAGCTGTTAATTTCCGGCTTCCCTCAGCAAATTGGTAGTCTGCGACTGTTGATACTTCTGACTCTCTTCTCAGTCTAATAATACTTTGCTTATTGTGGCTGCTCTTTTCCTCTGGGACCATTAGCAGATCCAAACAATGTTTCTTGAAGTAGGGAAAGTAAAGAAACGCTCTTAGCCGCAAGCGTCATACACTACTAATATGCTGGTCCCCAAAGTCCGAAAGTCAGTTAAAGAACTTGGGTGAGTTATATAGGTCCATATAGTTTTCGATCGCGCTATCATTCATTTTTGCAACAACCAGTATTTTCAGAGGGAGCCTAAGATGTTCTGTATACACTGTGCCCGTCATGGAGCTTACCAAAAGTGAGGAAGACATTTATGTATTCGTTCGTTTATTCAGGCAGACACAATGCTAGGTTCTGGAAATATGGAGCTGCTAGTTCTGAACTCAAAACACATACAGTACAACTCAGTGGTGGACACAAACAATCTCATAAGTGTACCACTACAGTGTGAAAAAATTGCAAAAGAAAAAAAGGTGTCTGGTACTAAGAAGGTGTATAATAGGACAAGTATATAATAGGATAAGTGACTGAGTAAGGACGTGAAGGATTAGGGATTATAAGGAATGAACTGGTTCAGGCAAGGCATGGTAGTTCATGCCCATAATCCCAGCACTTTGGGAGGCCAAGGAGTCGATTGACACCAAGAGTTTGAGAACAACCTGGGCAACACAGCAAGACCCAATTTCTACAAAAAATAAAAATATTAGGGAGCTGGGCATGGTGACTCACGCCTGTAATCCCAGCACTTTGGAGGCCAAGGTGGGCAAATCACCTGAGTTCAGGAGTTTAAGGCCAGCCTGACCAACATGGTGAATCCCCATCTGTACTAAAAATACAAAATATTAGCTGGGTCTGGTGGCAGGTGCCTGTAATCCCAGCTGCTTGGGAGGCTGAGGCAGGAGAATCACCTGAACCTCCCAGCTACTTGGTTGCAGTGAGCTGAGATTGCACCACTGCACTCCAGCCTGGGCAACAAGAACAAAACTCCATCCAAAAAAAAAATATATATATATATATACACGAGGCACGGTGGTACACACCTGTACTCCCAGCACTCAGGAGGCTGAAGTGGGAGGGTCACTTGAGCCTAGGAGTTGGAGGTTGCTATGAACTGTGATTACATCACTGCACTCCAGCCTGGGCAACAGAGCCAGATTCTATCTCTAAAAAAGAAAGGAAGGAAAATAACTTTCCTTTTGAGGGGGTAGTAGAAAGTGGAGTACCTGAATAAGGCAAAAAACATTTCAGAAGAAAACTTGGTGTGATAACAAGACTACTCAATTCTAGAAACAAAAAAAATCACCCTCTTGCAGAGTTTTTTCTTGGGGAGAAGGGTTGGGGAAGGGATTGAGAGGGCTAAGGCACTGGGATGTGGTGTAGACCATAGTGCTGAAGAAGCCAGTGGGGTGCAGAGTGCTAGGCTCTGTGGGCCAAGTTACGGAAGGGAGCATCTGTATCTGGCTGGTAAAGCCAAGAAAGGATTTGTTGAAGCAATAAAGTTTGAACTGGGTCTTGGCTAAGGAGTAGGAGTTTTCCAGATGAAGATGGAAAGGCTTTCCAAGCAGAAGGGATAGTCACTAAAGAGAATGGTGTGTCCAAGACTGAATGGACATGGGAGGGAGGAAAGACTGGCCGCAGCTGGAGCAGGATCCCCCAACTCAGGAAGGAGGTTACAGGTCACTGCCCTTTGGGAGCTGGTTATGTGCTCCATGCAGGCAGGTTTTGTGGAGTCATATGGAGCATAGAGTGCCTAATGTAAATAAATGCCTTGAGAAAAAACTAGAAGTTATTTTGTTTTTGTCTTAGAGACAGGATTTTGCTCTGTTACCCAAGCTGGAGTGCCGTGACACAATCAAAGCTCACTACAAGGCTGGGAGCAGTGGCTCACACCCACAATCCCAGCACTTTGGGAGACCAAGGTGGGCTGATTACTTGAGGTCAGGAGTTCAGGACCAGCCTGGCCAACATGGCCAAACCCCATCTCTCCTAAAAATACAAAAATTAGCCGGGCATGGTGGTGCATGCCTGTAATCCCAGCTACTCGGGAGGCTGAGGCATGAGAATTGCTTGAGCCCAGGAGGCAGAGGTTGCAGTGAGCCGAAACTGTGCCACTGCACTCCAGCCTGGGCGACAGAGCAAAATCTGTCTCAAAGAAAAAGTTTTTTAAAAGCTTACTGCAGCCTTGAACTCCTGGATTGAAGCGATTCTCCCACCTCAGCCTTCCAAGTAGCTGGGACTGCAGGCATGTGCCGTGACACCAGGATAACTTTCAACTTTTTGTAGAGATGGGGGTTCTTGCTGTATTGCCCAGGCTGGTCTCAAATTCCTAGCTTCAAGTAATCCTCCTGCCTCGGCCTCCCAAAGTCAAAGTGATGGGATTATAGGCGTGAGCCAACATGCCTGGTCCCCAGGGTTCATTTTAGAGCTGGCATTTTGAGCTTTGTCAATTTCAATTAAGGCATAACTAGACTTTACAAGATGGAATTATGTGATATACTTTTTAAGCAATAAGATAGACTCTGATCTGAACAAACTGCTAGGCAAAATTTAGAAATTTAGCCATGTGGCCGGGCGCGGTGGCTCAAGCCTGTAATCCCAGCACTTTGGGAGGCCGAGACGGGCGGATCACGAGGTCAG